GTGGAAATAAAACCCAGGAGTTTTCTAGGAAGAGGAGCTGAAGTTTCAGGGTTTTATTATCAAAGTTTTGTAAAACATTTTCCGAAACTGTACATCGACATGGCACRGACTGTCGGCTACTTTTGTCTCTTTACCTGCACAAAAGTAAAAGCTCTGGAGCTGCTGGAACTAAGGAACAGCTTTGGGTAACTACTCTGCAAATACCATGGGATCACCGAGTGCGGGAGGGAGGGAGCGGCCGGGACAGGAACACAAATTCATCCGTTTGTACAACTTAAGATCAAGTAAAAAGTTCATTATCAATGGACTTGCTTTAAAAACAGACCAAGGTCATGTTAAAATGCACTCCCTGCTGCAGCGGGTGAGCTCCTGAGCCCCCAGCCCCGGGGAAAGCTGCTCCCCCAGGCTTCCCTCASTGGGCACAGCCAGGATTCCCCTTCCCTTCCCGAGGGCAGGAGAGTGTGGAGCTGAAGAGGGAGCCAGGAAGGTGGGGGCACTGAACCCTGGGCAAAGCCAACAACAACCCAGGGAAAACCAAACCCAGCTGAGCCCAGCACAGGGCTGAAAACCAAAACTGAAGCCAAGAGCACAGAGCTGGTGCGATCCAGGGCYGGCTCTGGAGTGCCTGGAGTCCCTCTCCATGGCCGTGCTGGGGGCTGCAGGACAGGGGGACTGTGCCTCATTCCTGGGGTGTTCCTGCAGGACAAGGGGGCCTGTGCCTCATTCCTGGGGCATTTCATAGGACAGGAGGGCTGTGCCTCATTCCCGGGGTGTTCCTAAAGGACAGGAGGGCTGTGCCTCACTCCTGGGGTGTTCCTGCAGGACAGGAGGGCTGTGCCTCATTCCCGGGGTGTTCCTAAAGGACAGGAGGGCTGTGCCACACTCCTGGGGCGTTCCTTAAGGACAAGGGGGCTGTGCCTCATTCCCGGGGTGTTCCTAAAGGACAGGAGGGCTGTGCCACACTCCTGGGGCGTTCCTTAAGGACAAGGGGGCTGTGCCTCATTCCCGGGGTGTTCCTAAAGGACAGGAGGGCTGTGCCACACTCCTGGGGCGTTCCTTAAGGACAAGGGGGCTGTGCCACGCTGCCCCCGCTCCCAGGACGTTCCCACACTRMTGTGCCCCGCTGGCTCAGCCCGGGACACTCCGGAGGGAGGGAAGGAGGGGGCAGGGAGGGACGTGCGGCCTGGCCCTGCCCCGGAGCAGAGCAGGGGGTCCCTGTCTCAAGCTTTGGGTGTGAGTTAGTATCGGGATGGACAGACCATGGAGAGCTCGGAGCTGGATACATCTAGGTTGAGGATTAACAAGTACAGCATAAAGGATCACACTGGAGGGGCTGAGGGCGGGCTCAGTCGCTCATGTCCATGTCCTCCTCGTGGTGGTCATCCCCGTTCACCTTGGACTCCCGGCCCGCGTCCCCGCTGCCCTTCTCAGCTCCGGGCTCCTTCCCTTTGGGGGAGGGAGCATCCACCACCTTCTTCTCCTCCTTCTTCTCCTTCTCGCTGTCGTAGCCCTGCTCCTCCTCGTCGTAGTCCCTTGTGACCTGCTTTGCCAGGGAAAGGGGCACGTTAACACCTCGCTGTGGGGCGGGACGGGGGGGATGTGGGGCAGGGCTGGCARCAGCTCCAGGGGTTTATGGAACATACTTTCACATCCTTATCGCTCTCAGATTTCCGGTCTCGATCCTTCTCCTTGTCTTTGCTCTTCTTTTTCTTGCTYGTTGACCGCTCCCTCTCGTCTCTGCTCCTCTCCTTGTCTTTATCCTTCTTCTTTTCCTTTTTATGCCTGTGAGGATACAGCAGGGACAGGGATGAAGYCCAGCACCACCACCCACAGTGCACAACAAATCCAAAGGAAAATGGCAGAGTGCAAGTAAGAACAGTTCTGCTTTCAGGAAATATCCCAAATCCCCATTTCTTAGCTCTGGATCACCACAAAGCTGAGCTGAGAAATGCTGTGGTAAATAAAACCACAGAATCTCCTGAGCTGAAGGGCCCCACAGGGATCAGAGTCAAATCCTGGACAGTAAGAACAGCGATGTTCCAGTGTTTCCAAAAGCAGCACCTCGAGCTCCCCATCCTGGGCCAGGGTCACAAAATGCCCAGGCCACCCAAAATCAGTTGATTCCCACAGTGCAGAACCAAAGGCACTGGGAATCCCTGTCCTGCAACACCACCCTCGGAGCTCCAGCCAACCCCAGGGCAGCTCCGTGCTCAGAAGGAGCAGAGATCCACACCCCAAACAGAATCCCCTGGGAGCCTCCCTGCAGGACACAATTTGGGAATTTCCCACCCACACACCATCTTTTCCAGCCAAGTGTTTCCCTGACCTTCTGGGTGATGGGGACCGGGACATTTTCCGTTTGGGAGACCTGGGCTTTTTCGGGGACCGTGTCCCGCTGCGGCTCCGTCTGCGYCGCCGTTCTCTGCAGGGAGGGACAGACACAGAGGGTTTGAAATCAGTGGTTATTTTTTCACAAGTGCATCCCCAACTCCAACCCCAGCCCTGCTCGCAGGGTACTAAATAACTGTTTAAAATCCAAGTTAAATTTGGAAGTTTGTTTGGAAAATGAAAACATCTTTTGCCTGGATTTATTCCCTGAATCAGGAAGAGCTCAGCTGTGACCTTGGAGCATCAAACTCTGACACAGAGCAAGGAGAAACTGTTCTAAGGCCAAAGAATTCACCTCAAACACTACAGGAAAATTAAAGTGTCCTACAGACACAGGAGGTACCACATCCACACTGCAATCATGATCCAATGGGATCCAAGCATAGTTTGGGTTGGAACCTCAAAGTTCATTCCACCCCCCAGGGACACTTTTCACCTGCTCTATTATGAGAATATTTTTTTCTATTTAATATCAACACTTTCCAGTTGCTTTATTATAAGAATATTTTTTCTATTTAATATGAACACTTTTCACCTGCTCTATTATGAGAATATTTTTCTATTTAATATCAACACTTTTCAGCTGCTCTACTACGAGAATATTTTTTCTATTCAATATTAAAGTGGATTAAAATCCTGCTGGGAACAGAGACTGAAGAAAATCCCATTTTTGTACCTGCTTGTGCTTCTGGATCTTCTGGTTGTGCTGTAGCTTTTGGGGGGAGTTTTAGAACGTTTCTTTTCTTTCTCTTCCTTCTTTTTATCCCTTTTGTAAAAAAAAGAAATTGTCAGTTAAAGTCTTTTCAAACCATTCCAAAGCAGTTCCTGATTTGCTGTGCAGGGAAGGGAATGCAGAGCAGGGAGGGATGAGGTGGCTCTGCAGGATGAGCCCCAAGGTGCTCCAGTCCCTTCCCAGTTTTGTTTCCTTTCCTGGTCACACTCCAGCCACTCCATGTCCCCCAAAACTGAGGATTCCCAGCACAGGGGACAGTCCCTGCCCTGCTCAGGCTGCATTTCCWGCAGTCAGTACCTGGTTTTGGATGTGCTCCGAGACCTCCTGCTCCTGTCTCTGGAATGAGATCTCCTTCTCCTGGGACTTTTGGATCGCCTCCTGCTTCTGGATTTGGAATGGGACCTTCTCCTTGATCTGCTTCTGGAGCGTCTGTCAGGGACACACCAACACAGGGGTCACACAAAGGACATTTGGGGACAGCTCTCAGAGCTGAGGAAAGCCACAGAAACCCCACAAAARCCTCCACCCACAGCTCTGTCTGCTCCCCTTGTCCTGCACAGGAGCTCTGCTGACACTGAAATGTGAATAAACCTTCAGAGCACTAATCCCAACCCCAATGTCCCTCCAAGGATGATTTTTGTAGGAATTGTCCCACTGGGGGAGGTGTTTTTAAGGAATTCTCAGTTACCTGTGTCTGGATGAAGAAGGTGTCCTCCTCCTCCTCGAGCGTGACCTCGATCTTGAATGTCTTCGTTTTTCATCTTTTTTGTCTGAAAAGCAGAATAAAAAACAACTTTTAGTATTCAAAAGGATTTTCYAAAGGAAAGGACCTGGAGCTTCATGTAATAAATATAAATAAACCTAATTTTGCCATTTGAAATGAAGACTCATCTGTAATTTTCTTCACAAGAAGACACCAACACAGGACAGGGACATGTTTATGCAATAAAATAATAGTAAAATAAAATAACAGTTTTATGCAAAACTGGAGAAGTCAAAACTCAGAAAAAACTTCATTTAAGTCAGTGCCAAGCTGGTGGCTGCAGGGCAATGGAAAATYCTGTGAAAATCCCAGAATCTGCCATTTTGTGAGGGGTTGAAGAACCTCTCAAATAATTGTTTTGAATTTTCTACAAAAAAAAAAAAGCCTCAAGCAAAGCAAGAAGAAGAAGAACAGGAGCTCTGTTCTTTCCCAGAAATCATCAGGAGGCTGMAGAACTCTGTTTTCAGGGTTCAAGTTTCTGCCTCTCAGATTTGGTGGTTCTGACATCAGTGAGARAACTGCTGGAGCTTGTTCTAAAATAAAAATTGCAGAAAGAAGCTCCAAAAAAGGGAATTGTTTACAAACTTGCCCAGGTTAGGAACGAAGATAAAGGAAGAAACATCAGCAGGGTGCCAAGTGGTGAGGTCATGAAATCCATGGCCAACAGCAAGAATTTCAGAGCCAACAGCAAGAATTTCCCTCAGGGAAGTTTGGGTGGTTTACAGCCCAAATCAGTGAATTTTGGGAAAAATAAGGGATTAATTTTAGTGCATTTGTGCAGGACACAAGGAGCATTCACTGCAGGATGATCACAAAGCTCAGAATTGTGCAGGTATCAGTTTTTATCCTGGGCTGATCCAGGCTCCATCCAGGCTGGAATTACCCATCCTGGCTGGAATTACCCATCCAGGCTGGAATTACCCATCCTGGCTGGAATTACCCATCCAGGCTGGAATTACCCATCCAGGCTGGAATTACCCATCCAGGCTGGAATTATCCATCCTGGCTGGAATTACCCATCCAGGCTGGAATTACCTGGCTCTATAGCAGCAGAAATTAAGGACTGTGCTTCTCGGACTCTCTTCATGGCCTCTTCTATTTCTTTACTGGAGGTATCTGATTTCAGACTTGGGGACACAAGACCTGCAGCCACATGGTTCAACCTGGACAACACAAAATTGTAGAAATTCAGGATTGAGGAATCAGGGGAGGCAGCTCTGCTTGTGAAATGATTAGCAAATCCTGGAATAGTTTGGAGGGACAATAAATCCCATCTCATCCCAGCCCTTGTCATGCCCAGGGTGCTCCAAGCCCATTCCAAGCTGGGAGCAGCTCCAGCAGGAAAAGGAGTGGGCACTGAATCCCCAGGAATCCTCCCAGAAGGGCAACACAAATATTTGGGAACGGTGCTTACTTTGGATCCACTGTGCTCATCAGTTTTAGGAGCTGATCTGCTGCGAGAGACTGCGAGGGAAAGAAAAATAAAGTTAAAACCAGGCTGACAATGTTCCTGGAATGTCCTTTCCCTGCTGGAAAACAAGAGCAGGACACCCCCAGTAAGGAGGAAAAGCCAAACTGGGATGGTGTAACTGGGGCTGCTGGGAGGGTGTGAATAACCCACTCTGGGGGGCTCAGAGGCTTCATTTTCTTGCAGCCAAACATAGCCCTGTCCTGGAGAGAGGCAGGAATTAAAACACAAATGGATAGAAATACAAATGCTAAAAATATAAATGAATAAAAATACAAATGGGTAAAAATACAAATGGGTAAAAATACAAGTGGGTAAAAATACAAGTGGGTAAAAATCCAAATGGATAAAAATACAAATTGTAAAAATCCAAATGGGTAAAAATCCAAATGGATGAAAATACAAATGGGTAAAAACCCACTGCTGGGCTGTGTTTATATCTTCACTTGTGTATTATTAATTCTGTGCACAGGTTATTTCTGTTACTGCAAGAGGACAGAGCTCTGTGCTGTCTGTCCACTGAAGGTCTCATTGCCAACTTATAAACATCTAAAAATTCCAGGAGAAACTGTATTTTACAGTTTTTAGGAGAATCCAGGCATTATTATGATCAGTCTCTTCCTGCACCAGTGGGGTATTAACAAGCAAATGTTTAATCCTCATTTTCTTTATAATGAACCCAAACAGTTTGTACCAATCTCCTGGTTTAATGTACAAAAATCCTCCATCACCCCAAATTTACATTTTTCTAATATGCCTTTAAAATGCTTACTTTTTCCCCATTTGTTAGTTAATTTTCACCATTATTTGCTTGTTTTTCCACATGGAATACATTAAAAAACTGCTGTTTGATGGCAGTAACATTAAATTATTGCTCCATGTTTCTGTAAAATAGTATTTGGTTCTTACCTCTTAAATATTATATTTATAAATATGCAGGTAAGTTTGATATATTGATATATAGATATATTTTTATTTGTATACTCAATATTCTATTAATTAGTACCCAAAAGTCTTTTTGATTCAGCTTTAACAACCTAACAAAGTCTCCTCACATTTTTGACACCTATAAAATAAAAAAGTCAAACTACTTTTTACTTGAAGTACAAGGCAGGTTCATGGCCTGATAATGGCACATATTTGAAATATTTTGTTATTATTTTTGGCCCCTTCCAGGATTTAGTTTGATATTCAAGGAGATTGTTTTTGCTTGGAATAAAAAATATCTCTGGAGTTTTCAGGTAGTGGCTGTGAATGGATATAAATGAAAAATACCCTTAAAGCAGGAAAATTGAGACAATAAAGGATATTTTGGAATGAAGACCTACCTGGGAGTTCAGGTTTGCTCCAGGAAGCCCAAGAGCAGCAAGGGCAGGGTCGAGAGCAGGAGCTCCTAAAGCAGCTAAAGGGACAGCACCAATCTGTGACAGAGACAGCAATTAGGACCAGTGACAAACCCTGGCATCAGCATTTCCCTCTGCATCCCAAAAAATAAAGATGAAAGAGTAAAACATTCCAGCAAATTGAAGGGATCGTTTAAAATGAAGTTATTTTCCAGGGCTAAAATGCAAATTCATTCGAAGTGTCTGAGCAATTCATTTGYAATTCAATTTAGGACTGGAATGGGCACAGTTCATGTTAAAAGGAACTGTAGCAATATTGTATCTCTGCAAATGTCTCAATTTGGGTAAAAAGTGCCTTCTTCTCCCTAGAGCAGCTCATTTGGGGCTGTTTCAGGTGAGATGATCAGGACAGGTCCCAAACCCAAAACACACCTTGGAGAGGAACCATTCCCTGAAATGGATGTGAACACACCCACCAGGGAGGGACTGTGAAAGGCTTGGGGTCAGAGATACAATGAAATTAAAGTGGCTCCACAACCACTCCCAGAATTTATACACAGTTCTTAGTGAAGGAAGCTTTTGGGTGGTTTGGTTCAAAGGTTAAATTCAGGCTSCTCCCTCCTGAGCAGCTCCATAGCCAGGGGGTCCTTCAGCTAAGCAGGAGCTGAAGTTTGAGAAGTGCAGAATTAATGAGGCTTTAATTAGGATTAATTTGCCTGGTGCACTTGGATTCTGTGCCCTGCAAGAGCTGAACTGTTGATCCAACTTCTCCCCCCATGTGTAAATCTCACTGTTCATCTCCCACATGAATTCCTGGGGGTTCACACAAACAGGCTCCAATTTTCCCCTCAGCTGGAGGATTAATGAAGGAAATCTCACAGCAGGGCAGCTCCTTGGACTTGAGGAATTAAAAATCTACAGGATCTGTCCTGCTTGTCACATCTGTAAATGCAGTGGGTAAGAGGGATGGGGACACAAACAGGGCCTTGAATAGCAGAAAATAATGAGGGAATAGGGATGGGGGACACAAACAGGGCCCTGAAGAGCAGAAAATAATGAAGGAATAGGGATGGGGACACAAACAGGGCCTTGAATAGCAGAAAATAATGAGGGAATAGGGATGGGGGACACAAACAGGGCCCTGAAGAGCAGAAAATAATGAAGGAATAGGGATGGGGACACAAACAGGGCCTTGAATAGCAGAAAATAATGAGGGAATAGGGATGGGGGACACAAACAGGGCCCTGAATAGCAGAAAATAATGAAGGAATAGGGATGGGGACACAAACAGGGCCTGAATAGCAGAAAAGAATAATAGGGAAATAAGAAAATTCCATCAAACAACTCGTCACTGTTGCGCCCCAATTCACATCAGAGCTGTCCCAATCCGTTGGATATTTTGGAGTGAACACATCAGTCCTGGAGAAAGGCAACAGGAATGGAGTGGCAATGAGCAGAACAATGTTTGGCAGCCTACCTGAGAGAGGGGGTTGGGGGTGGGCAGCAGGCCACCCCCGGGCAGCAGCCCTGCCACGGCATTAGCTGGTGCCAAGAGAGACAAAGCCTTAGTCTCATCAGGAATGACTCCTGCAGGGAAACAGCCTGGCATTAGAGCATATCCCAGCCCAGAGGCACCAAATACACAAATACACCCAGCAAAGTCTCCCTGATACACCACCTGAGTTTGTTGAAAGTACTTATGTTGGCTAAAATACAAAGCTTGATGGCTATTAATATTTAGCATTAACTTTTTTTGTCAGAATGCAACTTCAATGGGTGACAATTTGACTGTTCCTTTTTCTCTACAAAAGGTTAAGTTTCTAGAGCAAAAAAATAGCACAATACACACTACTTTGTTGTTAACACTGCCAAGGTTTCATCACCTGTACTCGATTTTTAAGTCATGAACCAAACGTAAGCAAGCACAGTCGGTTCTCCAGGGGTGAGAGTGCTCTCAACTTTCAAAAGCTGTTTTATGAACAACGACTCGTGTCGGCTGCTTCACTACAAAGCACACAGAAAAATCAAGATACACAAGACAAAAAAAGTTGGATTTAGGGGTTAATAATATGGTACAGTTCACTATGTTTTTCTTTTACACCTACCATACAAATTTTGGCAAACTTAAAAGAGAAGGGATGGGTGTTTTGGGTAGGGCTTTTGCTGACGTGTCACATGGAATGCGGTCCCTGCGGCTCTCCGGGAATGCTGGGGGTGTGTCTGTGGCTGGGATACACACAGGGATGCTGGCACATTCCTTACCTGTGCAGTAAAATGCATTTGTTCCAATATGTGCCAGCTTAGAGCACCAACAATGCTGCTACCACCTGTCGTGGCACAGGGGACTTCTGGCCCAAAGTCTTGCAGCCAACTAAGACCAGGGGCTCATGTCACTGCCTGCTCTGCACACAGAGTGCTCAGGGCCCTACCCGCAAACAATTGTGGGGGATTTTTACTCTATCCAACAGCAAAAGCCCTATACAGATGGATTAATTTGTTAATGTGCCCAAGCCCCCAAAATGAGAGTTCAATAAAACAATTTTACTATATATTTGCAAATACCAGTAGTGTTTCTGTAATACATATTAAGAAACTGCATCTCATCATAAAACATACAATATGTACAGGGCACTTAAGAGAAACTGGATAAGCTGCAGAAGAAAACTGTTGGGTGGTATTTTCAGCAGGGCCTGGTATATAGTTCAGGCTGAACCAGGGAAAAGAACTGTAAAACACAACAACAAAAAAGAAAAACCACTGTTAAATAAAGGTAATGGTTCCTCCCACCTATACTGAGAAGTGCCGATAATCTACACAAATGTACAATACACAGCACTGATATCTGGCTCGTGGCACTGAGCTGGCAGCACTTTAGATAACCCAAAGTTATGGAGGGACAGGGGAAAAAGGTCATGGAGGCAAAGGGCAGGAATGCATAAATATATCAACATACCTACAGAGAGATTATGGGGTCATTTGGCATGCAAAATTATGTCTCAAGAGGATATTTATCAATTATAGCTAAACATTTCAAATTAGTGCAACTACAACATTTCTGGCATCTAAATACAAATCCTCAGACTTAGCTCGAGACACCTCATAGAAGATCTGCATCCATTAAAAAAAAATTCATGCATCTGATCCTCTAATTGTTTCTTTAAGAAGTATTTAAATAAACTACAATTTAAAAAAAAAGCAATGAGGCCCCTCACCAGTTAATTTTCATGCTTCAAGAGCTTTTTTTACTGCTGCTTTGTTAGAACCATGAAATACTGCATGAATGTGTAGAAATGAAAGAAAAAGAAACAGACAAAAGAAACAAACATTAACCAAAGAACCTAAACACCCCCCCCAGCCATCTTTTAACCTTAAGAGTTCCTTCCAAATCCAGGAATTAGCCCAGAGAAAATGACAAATACTAAACCTTACCGTAGCCTTTGTGTATAGTTCTATAACACAAAGCAACAGCCAACACCAAAGTGTCTGTGTGAGCTAAAACTTGGGACAGGGGGGGAATTATTGCACTGAACAGATAATAAACATTTGCTTTAGTGACAGGCAATTAGCACACAGGTTCATTAGCACAGCAGATGTCAGAGAGGAGGGCCCCATTCAGCACATGCCTGGCTTTAAGCACATCAGCAGTGGCACTGTGGAGTTGGGAAATGCTGGCTCTTGTCCAATTGGGACCCTGGCAGGGGGAATTTTTAGGGAAAACTGTACTCCAGCACAGGGCAGAAGTATGGGATTATCAAACCAGGGGCAATAATTTATTGGCTGAACATCTCTCTTGTGATGTGCCAAGGACATTAAATTCTGAACCGTTAACAACACCAGGTACAGCCCAGGACTGGCTCCTTAATAGGCCCAATAAAATATTCTACTTTAATAATTTGTGAAGCAAAGCTCCTGGGMAGGTTTCTCTGTGTGCCAGATTTATCCACAGTGGACAAAGTCAGACTGACAAAGAGAAAAGGGGGTTTATCCTTGTGGAAGAGTTAAACACTGGCATTAATTCCGTGGGCCTTGGGGAATATTCCAGCACAAATTCACTGGACTGTTGCTGTGTTCAGCACCCAGACAGGGACAAGAACAGCTCTGCTATTTTCAAGCAGTGGCAGCAGGAGCAGTAACTCCATTGCAGAAGGGGCTCTGGACCCTCAGGAAGCAGCAGGGCTCCATCAGAGGCCACACTGCACATTCCTACACTCCAGGAATTCAGTCTGACATCTTTTGATTTAAGTTTSGTATCTTTTAAGCTTAAGAAATACAAAGATAAGATAAGACAGCTCCCCAGGCCTCAAGAGACAGCTCCAGCATGACAGATTACAGGTGTGAACCCAGGCCATGTACCAAACTTAGCACTGTAGTATGACTTAATCTGCAAGATTTTATTAAATTCAACCCTTCCCAGAGAAGTAAATCAAGAAATGCACAAGTACAATGGAAATCAGTTACTTCTAAAGCAAGTCTAGAAGAGTTTAATAAGACTTCTGTAAGAAGAGGTGTCTTCTCAGCACTTTGCTTTTAAGGTAAGTTCCAAAAACCCTGCTCATTGCCTTTCAAATTACTGTAACACCCTAAAATGTAAAAATAAAAAGAAGAAGAGAAAATGTAGTTAACAAGTGGTTACACCAGGAAAACACTTGGGGACTTGAGTGCTTGCTGGCCTTTAGTTAATGGCTAGAATCCCCTGTAGCTKCAGAGGACCCACTGTTTTTCAGTCATCTGGAAGGGCTTTGCATTTGCCTTCTCCACTACAAAAATCACACACACAAATAACAGAGAGAAGAGTTTATTATTTAGTGAAATTCTATTAAATATATCAAGGATGAACAAGAAAACTTGGAATTAAAAACTAGGACCAGTGCCCATGTGGCACCTCTTGGAAGTTGTCACTTTTGAATTAAAGCGTAATTATTCAAACCCTTGGTATACTGGACTCCACAAGGAGAGYGAGGGCCTTTTTTGGGGATGTTCCCAAATAAATGCAGTGGCAGCAGATCYCAAAGGAATGTTAATTCCTCTCCTCTCAGGGAGGGAGAAACCATTCTCATGAAGAGAGTGAAAGCAGCAAACAATTATTAAGGTAAAATCTCCTTAAAATATTGCTTGCATTATAGTCTGTTTGGGAAATGTCTCATTGAGACTGACACAGAGCAAAATTTGCATAGAATTCTGCCTAAAATGTTATTATTCTACACTTCAAGACACACAAAACTTTTCACTTTGATTTGGTGTCACTATATAAATAAARTGATCAAATCCAGGGGCCAAAGGCAATATACCAAGGGTTTCCGAATGGCAATCTCTGACRTGTTTGACATTTGGCTACTGTTAATTTTTGTGCACTAGACAAGAATCAACCACCACCCAAAGGTGGCCCCATAGAACATCAAACAAGTTACAAACCTTCAGCATAGGGAACGACTATGAGGGCTCTGTCAACGAACACAGTGTTTGTCAGGTGCTGGGCCACCACGGCCGAGTCGGGGTCGTGGAACTTTACAAAGCACACTCTGGACGACACCGGCAAGGGGGAGTCACTGCAAGAGACAGAACCATCACTCAGGGACAAAACCACACCAAAATAACATCATTTCCTTGGAGCTGCAATTTAGTTCTGTTGTCACTTGGAACAGCACTTTAGTCCTGTTATGAACAATAAATCTGTGARCCACTACCTAAATGCAAATTCCTCTCTGGATTGGAGGAAAGCTTGGCTGAAAAAAAAGAAAAAGTTACCAGTTCTGTATCAGTTAAACCCTGGGGTTTCACATTAGGCCCCAAATTATTAAGGTAAATTGTGAAATGAAGAGGGTGATGGTTACAAGATTGTTGTGACTCGTGACAGGGGCATGCAGGGGCAGGGATGGATGGGATATTGGGATGGAATTCCTGCCTGGGAGGGTGGGGAGATCTTGGCACAGGGTGCCCAGAGAAGCTGTGGCTGCCCCTGGATCCCTGGCAGTGCCCAAGGCCAGGCTGGACATTGGGGCTGGGAGCAGTCTGGGACAGTGGAAGGTGTCTCTGCCATGACAGGGGTGGCACTGGATGAGATTTAAAGTTCCTTCCAACCCAAACCAGCTGGAATTCTGTTTTATTTATCAACTCAATTCCATACCAGCTTCTAGACTAAACTTCACCATGCTGCCCCTTCCACATTCTGAGGAATGCCCAGTGCTGAGCTCCTGTCTGTCCTTCAGCAGGAAAGAACAAACCAAAGGAGCTCAAGGCAGGCAATGAAAAGCTCCTGAACTCTGTAAAACAAACTTCTCCACAAGGTCAGTCTGTGCCTATTCTCAGCTCAAAACAAGTGTCTGTCAACCTACAAATTTAAAATGGAGAAGTTTTAAGTCACTTCAAAGAAAAACCAACCCAGAAACATCTACTTCCTTTGACAGGAAAGAATTGTAGAACTACAGCTGTGAAATCCCTAAAAGGGACCAAACCAAATCAAATTCTGAAAAACCAGATGCAGTCAACCCAGTAAAGGTCCAGAATGAGTTTCAAGAGCCTCCATGTCCTGAAAGTGGTGAAGATTTTGCTTTAATTTGATGAATAAAGTGAAAGACAGGAGGGAAAACTGTTCTGCAGACAGAGCTGTGCAAGGGATGGGTTAAAAGCTGCCTCCAGAAGGCCCAGGACAGGGAAGGGAAGCAGCAGGAAATCCTAAACCCCTTGTTCCTACTACACCAAGCCAGAGGTCCAGGTCAGCCTGAAGAACTCTGAGGACACTCCCTGATCCTTACACTCCCTGATCCTGACAAAAATCTGCTTTTCCTACCTGGATTCCCAGCCACAACTCCAAGACAGGCAACTTCAAAGGCACGGCAGCAGCAGAGCAGTTTGATCTGAGCTGCTGAGGCTGATCAAACCTTTCAGCACTGGGACTTGTCAGAATTCAGGGAATAGGTCTGACACAACCACACAGATCCAGGGTCTATTTTTGGCACTGCAAATGCCAAAAGCTCCCTCACCTTCRGCCCTACTGAGCCCAACATACACAACTGCCCCAGTGTCTGTTAGACCACACTTTAAAAACCTTACATTTAACCTGATGTGGAAAATTAAACTGGAGCCAGCACATTGCAGCTTCTGAAGCATTAAAATTAGAAACAGCCACTTGCTCCCACAGCTTGCAGACTGAATAAATTGGGAAGTAACTGCAGTGATAAATGAGAAAAATTGAATCTGTTGGCTCTTCTGCGCCCAGGAATCCACAACAGCTTGCCAAAATGGTGCCATTTTTTCCAGAATAATAACTAACAATTAATAATCACAATAAAAAAATAATAATTTAAAAGAAACCCCAAAGAAACATTAGTGGAAGGTGTAACAAAATCACAGTCGAATTGGAGAAAAAAGTAAATCAAGGGGTGATGGTACAGCTGGAGGAGTCACTAATCTAAATTGCAAAAAAATTACACAATTCATTACAGAAATGCAGCCCGGTATTTTCAGGCATTTTTAAAATGTCAGTGTAACAAAGGAATGTGAACCAGAGCAGATCCTACTGACTCTTCAGCAGATCCTGTTTACAGCCAGGAGTGCCACTGGGAATGCTTTGGGAGAGCTGAACTTTTCCCCAAAATAATGAACCTAAAATAACAACTGAAAATGTGTTAGGCAATGCTTCTGCAGCCTGACATTTAATTTACATCTGTGTATTRCACTTTTAAAAATGGTATTTCCAGTCACTCTCAAATCCAAGCTGAGTGAAATTCATCAAGAACTGGCTGTTCTCAACAGTTCCCCAAAAAAGCCATCATCCACCATTATTCTAATTCACCCAAGACTGAAAAATTTAGGAATTGTCTCTCACCACTGGAATGCTGGGACACACAAGGATTTCCTGGGGCTGGAGTACAGGAAATTCAGAAATCCATTCCCTCCACTTCTCAGTTTAGATGGAGCTTTATGGAATACAATAAAGATGAGAACCAGGCAATGGAGTTGGGGAAAAGCAGGAGGAAGAGGAGGAGGAAAATTGGAAGAAATCCCAACGTTGGTTGTGCATTAAAGATGCAGCATGAAGCTGAGGTGTAAAATAAATGGGAAATACGGGATTAAAGAAACTGGGATAAGGAGGTGGATGAGGGAAGAGAAGGAAAACAAGAAATTTAGAGAAGATCAGGAAGTTACACGTGATCTGGAAGTGCAGGAGAATAAGGAAGTTCTACAGCAGAGTCAAAGGGACACAAATGAGGAGGTGGAGCAACGGAAAYGGGATTGGCTCCTCAAATACTACAGGCAAGGGAGAATCCCAGCAGGATCCAGGACATARAGGAATTTCAATTATGGGGAGAATTCCCAGATTAGAGTTTATAACCTGTACACCTCCCAAAATGGATGAACACCATGGGCAGGGCAAAGTCAGGAACTGGAATTTAGAGAAGAAGGAACAGAAGAAGAAGGTGTCACTATCAGAAATGTCTCTTTGGGGTGAAATGGAACTGGGGGCTCTGAAGTGACCCGGAGCAGATTCCCCTCAGCCCAGGCAAAACCCACAAAAGAAAGGCCACCAAGGCACTGAAGTAATCTCTGAACAGATTAGTTAATGTGTATCTGATGCTACAAAGTTTAAAAAATGCAGATCACCTCCAACAGCCTCCCCGAAAAACGAGCTGAGCTGTTCAAACACAGAGCAGCCCAGGCACCTGTCTGGAACTGTCCCTGCATCTCAGCTCCACACACAGGCACATTCCAATTCTTTCTAAGCTCCAATTCCAACCTGAAATTGCCCAAATCCAACCCAAAGTAACTGCAAGAACACCACTGATCCCATTTCTGGCTGTGCAGAATACCTGGGCTTCCTTTGGTTTGTGCTAGCCTCAATAAGGAAAAACAAATGCTTTGTGGTTGTTTTCTTTCCCTAAAACAAAAAAGGTAATTCTGGGTATTACAAATAAYCATGTTTTTGTTTGATTATTTTTCATCAAGGCAGAAAGAAAACCTTCAACTCGTAAAATGAATATGCAAAACATCAACATATAATGACATCAGCTCTGTAAATCAAACTGACATATCAGCACTGCTAACACCCAAGTTTTGTATTGCATCAGAAAGATTCTGAAAGCACTGTTTAGTTCCATTAGAATTTAATTATAAGCGAAGACATAAAAACGGACTTATTTTTTTGTTTGTGGCTACTTGCAAAGTGCCGAGGTACCTGAAACTTCCTTTTCAGTTATACATGTATTTTAAATGTGCATTATTTGTTTTAATTCTCACAGAATTCCTTGCAAGATATGCAAATCGGAAATGTGTATCTGTCTATTAGTGGCTACCTGTCTGTTTAGCACAGATTTGCYTGCAAGGAACATAACTATTAAAAGTATATTCTTTTTAAATTAGAGGTTAGCTGCTCATCTAACACAAAATTCTTTGTAACAAATGCATTTTTATATATCTACAAGTTTTGGCCCTATGGAGGTGACGCAGATGGCGGAGGCTCAGTGGACACAACCCTGAACAAACAACTCGTCCATTTCCCCGGAGCCGCACGTGTCCCTGCACGGCCCGGATTAAATCCCCGCAATCCCGTGACCGCGCCGAGCCGCGCTGGGAACACCGACTSTCGGGGAGCGCAGCGAGAGCCGCCCCCGCAGGGCCCCGGGAGCGAGCGCGGTGCCGCAGCCGGGCGGGATCCCCGGGAGCGGGGGCGGCCCGGGCCGGGAGCCGCCGTGAGGGCGGGCGGGAGGCGGCGCCGGGCCGCGGGCAGGGCACGGGGGGGCGGAGGGACGGACGGAGAGGGGGAGGCGGCGGGGCCGTGCCCGGGGCCCGCACTCACTCGGGGGGGAAGAGGCGCAGCTCCTCGATCTTGCCCAGGAAGCCGAAGAGGGTCCGCATCTGCTCCGAGCTGGCGCTGGGCGAGACGTTGGTGACCTGGATCACGTCGGTGCCGCTGCTGGAGGCCATGGCGCCGCCGAGCGCTCCGCCGGTGCTGCAGCAGGACACAGCGGGGGCGGGGGGAGCGAGTGAGGCGCGGGGCGAGGCGGTGCGGTGCGATTCGCCGCTGCCGGCCCCGGTTCTCCGTTCCCCGGTTCGCCGCCCCCTCACGGCCCGGTCCGGCCCGGTTTCCCCCCACCCCGGCCCCGCGCGCGCCGCCTCACCAGCCTGCCCGGGCCGCAGTATCCCACAGTGCACCGCGCCGCGCCTGCGCGCGCACCG